CTTATACTACTTCAGGACAACCAGCTTAACCTTTCTCTCCTATCTATTCTTCTTGGGAATGGTCTAAGACTTTTTCCTCCTTTTCCTGGCACCACCACAAAGTCTCAACACAAGATGATGAGCGGACTCCTTTCAGATGTTGTAGTCAGACGAAGTCCATCTATATTCCAGTTGCTTGCAGCAACGATCGGTCTCTGCTAATCAGGAGGAATTCCTTCTTTATCTGTGATCTTGGCCTTCACAGTTTCTGTTGTATCTGAGGATGCAACCTCCATCGTGATGGTCTTCCCCAGAAAGGTTATTACAAAAATCAATATCATGCTGGTGGGCACACTGTGGATGGTGGATCCTACCTGGGGCTTTATAGGACTTTTCCTTTAAACCTTCTCCATTACCCTGTAAGGTAGTTATCATCAGTGCCTCACTGTGTTGAGGTGCAGAGAAGTTACATAACATGCCCAAAGTCACAAATCCAGGCAGTGAGAAAGCCAGCCTTCAACCTTGTGTCTGTCTGACTCCAGTGCAGCATAATACTGAAGAGGACCATAGCAATTTGTTTCTCACAGAAAATGTACACTTTGCGGTATTATGTTTCTTTGGGTTTGCTAACAGAGAGGCGTATTTCTTTTTCCTTATGGAGATTAATCTCTTTCTACCTTAAGTTTAAAATAATCCATAATATAGTAAATAGTTTTAAAATAACAGTATTTTAAATAAAAAAAATCACAACAACAAAGGTTAGCAAAGATGTGGAGAAACTAGAACCCCAATATTCTGCTGCTGAGAACACAAAGTGGTACAATGCTTTTGCTGAGTGTATGGAAGAGGACTTAATTAACTCTGAGTTTTATTACTCAACTCCACTCCTAGGGAAATAACCAAGAGAAACGAAAATCTGTGTCCGCACGAAAGCTTACACATGAATATCCACAGCAGCACTATCTATAATAGTCAAAAAGGAGAAACAACCCAACTGCCCATCAACCGATGAATAAACAAAATACCTTCTATACACACAATTGAATATTATTCAGCAACAAAGGGAATGAAGTACTGATAAATGGTACAACATCAATGAGCCCTGAAAACATTACACTAAGAGGCCAGTCATGAAGAAACAAATTTATAAGACACCATTTACGTGTCTAGAACAAGCAAATCCATAGAGACAGACAACAGATCTGTGGCTGAGGTTGGAGGGGTATTGGAAGGGAAATGACAGCTTAAAAAGCACAAAGTTCTTTATGGGGGTAACGAAAATGTTCTAAAATCAAGTGTGGGCCAGCGCCGTGGCTCACTAGGCTAATCCTCCGCCTTGTGGCGCCAGCACACCGGGTTCTAGTCCCAGTCGGGGCGCCGGATTCTGTCCCGGTTGCCCCTCTTCCAGGCCAGCTCTCTGCTGTGGCCAGGAAGTGCAGTGGAGGATGGCCCAAGTACTTGGGCACTGCACCCCATGGGAGACCAGGAGAAGTACCTGGCTCCTGCCATCGGATCAGCGCAGTGCGCAGGCCGCAGTGCGCCAGCCATGGCGGCCATTGAAGGGTGAACCAATGGCAAAGGAAGACCTTTCTCTCTGTCTCTCTCTCTCTCTCTCTCTCACTGTCCACTCTGCCTGTCAAAAAAAAAAAAAAGATATATATGAAACTGCACCATGAAAAATAGCCCCACATTATGTGTTTGCTAGGCTCTTAATAAATATCTACTGAACAAATGCATTAAGGTACTTTACGACTGCTTAAAAATACTAGCTCTTTTAAATTCAAACATTCTTTTTAGGCACCTAGAGTTCAACAAATAAGCTAATTTTGCATAGTGTTACTTGAAGAGTGCCCAAGTCACCCATCCCTGGAACTGAATAGTATTATCTGTGATACCTGCAGCAGCCTGCCACAGGGATTCTCCAGGCACCCAGCACAATCGCCTGTGACTTCTTACAGTGAGATGCCATGGCGTGTTAACTGACCCCTCCTCACTTTCACTGAGCCAAACCCAGACCTGCAGGAAAGCTCCAGTGTGACTCAAGACCAACAGCCAATGCAGATGTCAGCTGGGTCCTGAAATCTGGGAAACTGAACAACAAACTCCTTTCTTTGTGAGAAAAATTCTCAAAAGGAAGTCCCGATAGCATTTAGCTATTTATAGTCACATTTGAGCTCAGATGAAGGAGTGTGGAAAGGAAAAAAGCAATCAATTCCAGAATAAAAATGGAAACCAATATTCAGGGTTAAGGGGAAGCAGGGGATAGAATAAATAGATGTCAGAACTTGAGATCCAGTTGATGAATTAGACTGACTGGTTAAAGCAAATCTAAGAAAAAAGCATTCAAATGTTAGGTGCACTGAGAAAGAAAGAAGGCAGACTAACAGAGCAAAACAAATGAGCTCAAGAGTCAAGATCCGATGAGTAAATTAAGTCTAGAAGGTGGCAATGAGAAGTCTGATGCCTTCAAGGGATTTTTTTTTTTTTTGGTTGGTTGGGTTTTTTGTTTGATTTTTGTTCAAAAGTTTATTAACTTATTTGAAAAGCAGAGTTACAGAGATAGTGGGAGAGACACAGAGAGACAGAGAGTGCCTCCTCCTCTGGTTCACTCTCCAAATGCCCACAAAGCCAGAGCTGATGCAGGCTGAAGCCAGAAGCCAGGAGCTTCATCTGAGTCTCCAATTTGTCTGCAGGAGCCCAAGCACTTGGACCATCTTCCACTGCTTTCCCAGGCCATCAGCAGGGAACTGCATCAGAAGTAGAGCAGCTGGAAACTGAACTACTGCCCATATGGAATGCCGGTATTGCAAGTGGAAGAAGCCTTTATCTACTACACTATAGTGCTGGGCCCAAGGGATGGTTTCTAAGTCTTTATAATCAGTGAAAAAATACCTCCCAGGGATACTTTATAGTTTACATGTCTCTTGAAATCTATAGCAACAAAATAAAAATGAACCTTGGATTTCTGAAAACCATGTTCCGAGAGGGTTCCTATTTAAAATATGCATAGGAATGTGGTACCCATGGAAACAACAGATGAGGAGCCCAGAGGCTCAAAGATGCCACCTGAGACCCTGCCTTCACATCTCCAAGAACTGATCCACAGGTGCTATTTCAGGGTGAATTCAATCCAGTCTACAAGTTACCACCATCCTTGAGTGAAACAACTGCAAAAATGTACCGTGTGTTCCCTATGTAAAGCATTGCTAGAAGGTTTTGCTATCTTATTTCATTCCATTTCTTAAAAAATCCCATGGGAGACCAGGAAAAGCACCTGGATCCTGGCTCCTGCCATCGGATCAGCGCGGTGCGCCGGCCGCAGCGCGCCGGCCGCGGCGGCCATTGGAGGGTGAACCAACGGCAAAGGAAGACCTTTCTCTCTGTCTCTCTCTCTCACTGTCCACTCTGCCTGTCAAAATAAAATACAAAAAAATACATTCCTATAGGTTGTTATTTTATAGATAGGAAGGAGGAAAGGGAAATGTAGCTTAAAAAAAATTTACCCTAATTTTCCCCAAATTTCCCCACACTTTCTAAGGGGGCCGGGGAAAGATTTGATTTCGGGGGGCGTCTTCTTAACCCACTATTTTCTCTACTACCCTGAACCTTTCCAAAAGTGAGGTTGTTTATATTTATGTTGGACCCAAGGAGGCCCCTCTATAATGAAAAAAACAACACTGTATTTCTGTATTTTTTTTTTTTTTTTTGACAGGCAGAGTGGACAGTGAGAGAGAGAGACAGAGAGAAAGGTCTTCCTTTGCCGTTGGTTCACCCTCCAATGGCCGCAGTGGCGCACCGCGCTGATCCAATGGCAGGAGCCAGGTACTTCTCCTGGTCTCCCATGGGGTGCAGGGCCCAAGCACTTGGGCCATCCTCCACTGCACTCCCGGGCCACAGCAGAGAGCTGGCCTGGAAGAGGGGCAACCGGGACAGAATCCGGCGCCCCGACCGGGACTAGAACCGGGTGTGCCGGCGCCACAAGGCAGAGGATTAGCCTAGTGAGCCGCGGCGCCAGCCCCCAACACTCTAATAGCCATGAAAGAGCACTATAAAACCAAGCATACAAGTGGAAGGATATCAAAACAAAAAAAGAGGACATTGGGATTTGGAATGTCTTCAATTCATGGGATTATGGGATAAGGAGTCTATAGGAAATACTAGTCAAAGTAGCATATACAATAGCAAGCATACAATACTACTACTACTATAAAATCTAATCTGAAAAGACCTGTAGCTCCTGAATTTTTTATTGTCTTTATAAAGAATGTATAAGTAGATAAGAATTTGGAAATTTTGGTTGGGACTTCTCATAATATTCCTCGAGGTGTGTTTAGACTGTATGCATTAGTATGTGCTCTCAGGGGGAACAACAGTTTCCATGGCCAATAAACAAACACAACTGAGGTGAAAAATAATATCAGTAGCTACTAACCTCTCTTACACAATTCCCAAGATCTACCATAACAGAAGTTTTTGTAGATTTTATAGATTTTGCCACTCAACTATGATAATCATTCTCAATCATAAATCTTCCTCTTGGGTTTTCTGGGCAAATTTCCGAAGGCTTTCTTCCCTACCAAGGGAGCCAGGATCATCTTGCTGAACTCCTGTGATTCCTCAATGACATCAGATAAAAGAAATCAAAAAATCCCTGCAACTTAGTCCCAGGGACAGCAATCTCTTGCTCCCGTAAACTTCTTCCAATCCATCGATAATATGTATGGCCACCACATAAAAGCACCTCACACTGAAAACATTTTAGAAGGAAATTTGGGGTCTCCACCTATTAGAGATATTGGACCATCAGTTACCAAGCAGAAACAACAGTAGATAGAGTGGGTCCATGTTCTAATCCACCCTCTGCCACTAAGTAGGCGAACTGCATCAAGCTTTTTCATGGCTACCGAGTTAGCTACAAACCAAAGGGCACAGAACAGATCGTCCTGAAAGATCTCTCCAGTTCTAGGACACTTTGGGCATGAGTGATGCCTGATAACCAGTTTTGGTGATTCTGCAAGTACCTGTTTCTTGGTCACAGTGCCATCCACGGGGTCCACATATTCAAAGCTATCTGTCTTCGCCACACTGTAGACTTGGCTCCCCACAGCAAACTGCTGGCCAATGAAGGATTTGTCTGTGACCAGGGCCTCCAGATCCCTCATGATATAATACGTAGTCTTGGGCTCCAGCCCCTCATAGTCAAACCTAGTGAGGAAGGGCAGAACACAAGGTGAACCAAAACCTAAACAGGATAACAGCAACTGTTTGGACCTCCCAAAGTTCTGTTTTCAGGGAAGGACAGCCCAGACAAGTACTCTCAACTTGTCTCCCCTTCTTCCACCTGGCCCATAGAGTTCACTGCCCACACAGTGGCCAGAGTGGGCTTTTAGAAATCATATCACATTGCTGCTTTCCTTTAAATCCCTGTAAACACACTCTTCACTTGGAGAACAAAACTCAAAACCCCAAGCACAGCCTATCAGGTGCTGTGGGGGCCATCCCTGCCCACCTCTTTGACTTGAATGTTTTACCCTTTGTGCTCTTGTTTACTTGTTTCAGCTACACTGGTCTCCTGACCAGTTCCCAGTGACACTTGACCCTTTCCTGCCTCTGGGCTTTTGCCCTCACTGTTTGTTCCTTCTGCCTCATGTCCTTATCCCACAGCTATCTAAACAGCTGGCTCATTCTCTTCCTTCAGTTTTTAAACCTATCACCTCCACAAAATGACCTTCTCTGACTCTCCACCTGAGGTAGATCCCTACCTCAATACCCTCTGTATTTTATTTTGATAGTTAATCTTGTTGGTGCATTTGTGTATTTATTTGCTCTTTGCCCACCAGAATGAGTGCTCCGAGGGCAGAGACCTCAGCTCCTGTATGTCTTCTCTGTTACTTCTGGAGCATAGCACATGCTATGAAAGTAGTTTGGAATGAAAGATGGCAGGAAGGAAGAGAGGTGGGGGGGTAGAAATCAAGGGAGGAAAAGAAACAAGGAGAAAGGGAACTGAATGTACTATAATACTCTCTTGGGAACTTGGAAAAAATGTCACATTTGTTCCATTCAAAAAAGCCCTCTTAGCCAAGAGCATCAAATATAAGAAAGGGCTGGGAGGTGACTTGAAAAACAAAAAGACTAAAAATAGTACTTATCTCATTTGCTATTATGGGTTTAAAATATGATGATGCAAACCAAGTAACTGGTACAGCACCACGCACCCATGCTTCAAAACTATTAATTAGTTTTATTCTTAAAGAAACTGTTCAGGCTTTCCCAATGCCAAAGAGTTTTGACCAAGACCTCATATCGCACCTGGGGGTGGGTCTGTTTAAGAAGGAAGTCCCAGGAGGGGCGGCAGTGCCCGAAGGGCTGTGGAGGAATCTCTGTAGCACAGAAAAAGAACGAGAGTCTAAGGGTGAACTGAAAAGGACAGATGCTCTGGATAGCTGTGACTACATTTTCCCCACTCATCATCTTTTAAGATGTCCAGTAAACACCTGGGTAGCAGCCCGAATGGAGAACACAGGCTGACAGCATATCCAGTGATGGGTCCCCCACATCCATATCCCTTTCTTTTACTTTCTTCCTCTCACACAAGATGTTTCTTCCCCAGCCTTAGAAACAAAAGAGCAAGGAATCAGAACATTTTCAGCAGTGCGTAAGTTCTGAGACTAGATTCTCTTGACAAGTTTCAAATTTTTTCTGTTTAGTTTTTTTTTTTAATTTACTTATTTATTTGAAAATCAGAGCTACAGAGAGAGCAGGAGAGACAGAGAGGGAGAATATCTTTCATTTGCTGGTTTGCTTCCCAAATGACTGCAAGAGCCAGGGCTGGATCAGGATGAAGCCAGCAGCTCTTCTGGGTCTCCCATGTGGGTGCAGGGGACCAAACACTTGAGCTATCTTCTGCTGCTTTTCCCAGGCCATTAGCATGGAGCTGGATCAGAAGTGGAGCAGCGGGGCCAGGGCTGTGGCTCAATGCGTTAACGCCCTGGCCTGAAGTGCTGGCATCCCATACAGGTGTCAGTTTGAGACCCGGCTGCTCCACTTCCGATCCAGCTCTCTGCTATGGCTTGGGAAAGCAGTAGAAGATGGCCCAAATCCTTGGGTCCCTGAACTCATGTGGGAGACGAGGAAGAAGCTCCTGGCCCTTGGCTCCGGATGGGCACAGCTCCAGCCATTGCAGCCAGTTGGGGAGTGAACCACAGGGTGCTGGCTTTGCAGGTGGTGGCTTTACCTAAGACTAGATTCTCTTTAAAGATGGGCATTTGGAGGAGGTAGAGACACAACAAAGCAGAAGGAGGAGGAGGATTTGGATAAAACAGTCTAGTAAGAGACAACAGCAAGGAAAGAGATTCAAAAGTTGAGAAAATCTACTGATGTGATAGAACATGTTCGGTTTATTCCTGGTCCTTACGTCAGCCTACCCAAATGGTCTACAAACACAAGCAGGTCATACGCTATCTTGCCCTCACTGACCAAACTCAGCCCTTCTGATCACCACTGCCACTAGCATACTTTCAAGGAGTGAAACCTTTAAATGGAGAATTCTGTCTGGCTTCTATTTATACAAAGAAAACCATCTGGGAGATGTTCTCAGATAAAACTTCAGACCCAGTTATGAAATTGTTTTATTATGTCCCTCTCTGCCAAGAAAACTGTCAGGCTAGAAATCACTTTATTTCACAAGTACCTTTCAACTTGCTATTCGCCAGGGGTTGAAGGAAATATTTATTTCTCATCCTACCTACTCCTTCCTCCCTGTTTCTTTATCTGTGATCTTCTTTGGGCAGAAGTATGAAACATAACTCAATGTCCTACCAGAAACTCAATCTCCATGGCATATTATTCTCTAATATGGTTTTTATTATGAAAAAACCAATTAGCATGTAAGCTCTTGGCCACAAAGAATGAACTATATTGTAAATATACTTTTCATAACACTATTTCATCAAAACACTGGCAGAAACCTATATAATCATTGCACAAATTATGAGCAACACATCTTTGACTCAAAAAAATCTCCCTATGCCAGAGACTGGTAACAATATTGTATTTTTTCAGGTTGGACTTTTTGGAAAGGCTTCATGCAACAGAAGAATTTCAGGTCAGTGCTGCGGCTCACTAGGCTAATCCTCCGCCTGCGGCGCAGGCACCCCGGGTGCTAGTCCCGGTCAGGGCGCTGGATTCTGTCCCAGTTGCTCCTCTTCCAGGCCAGCTCTCTGCTGTGGCCCAGGAGTGCAGTGGAGGATGGCCGGGTCCTTGGGCCCTGCACCCCATGGGAGACCAGGAGAAGCACCTGGCTCCTGGCTTCAGATCAGCGCGGTGCGCCGACCGCAGCACACCGGCCGCAGCAGCCACTAGGGGGTGAACCAACGGCAAAGGAAGACCTTTCTCTCTGTCTCTCTTTCTCACTGTCCACTCTGTCAAAAAAAAAAAAAAAAAAAAAAAAAAAAAGAATTTCATGTTCTGTTTAGCCCTTGGTAATACACACAGGGCAACCAGGAGGGTTGAACACTTGTTAGATATAATAACGAATAAGGCAGGTTTCATGACACAAAGAATAATTTGAGGTGGTTTGCAAGCTGGCGTTTCCCTAGCCTTCTTTACAAATGCATCAAGAATATTAAAGTGTTGTCTACATTTTCCACAGCATTATAGTCTGTTTGATGTTAATGAGTACCATCACAGGCTTCCTTATTCTCCGATATTAGTCTGAGACATTTATGACTCTTTAAGAGAAGAAACAATCACCATATAAGGGAAGCATAAAGCTCAGTTTCTGTCTCTCAAACTCTGGAAACACAAAACAAAGTTAACTATTCATAAGCAAAGCCAAGTGAGTCACAACCTCTCTGCTTTAAATACACAGACTCTGAGGCTACCCCAAATTCCCTCACCCTATTCCACACTCTCCAGAGTGAACATGCTCTTCTTCCACCCCTCCCCTGACACCTGATTTGGAGCTAGGCACACACACCCACTCAGCTTACCCAGGCTCACAGAAGCATCAGATCATGCTTCTCTCACTCTACATCAGCAACAGGGAAGTGAGACAGACCCTCACTGGCCTTTCTGCTGCTTAACATTCCCCCTTCCTATACCTGCTTTCAGGAGAACAAAACATCAGCAAAATCTGGGGCTTCCTGAATCATGTTGCCCCTCAAGAGTATCGGCTCAGGCACCTTGGACACCACCCAGACCATCAGTGAAGAGGTAAGACAATGGTAGGGAAAGACTTACAAAAGTACCCTAACCTGACACAGCTTCTGTATCTATACCCTGCGCCTGACAAGCTGAGGTGGAGAACCAGGGAGAAGAGCCTCTGGTTTGAATGCATGACTCTCAAAGTCGCCAAAGTTTCCATGAGACTTTTCAAAGCTTTGAAGTTCGGCTTTCTTCTTAGAATGGCTGCTCCCCTTAAAGGTATTGATGAAAATATGACAGAGGGTTATCACAAGAGGGAAGAAGTGTGTACCTTCCTGCTTGATGCCTTTAACACACACCTCCCCCAAGAAACTGACTGGGTTCCAGATGGTCAGATCTTCCTGAAATATGCTTCCTTTCTGAAAATTCTAGCCTATTAGTTTCAGAATCCATTTCTAAGATTTGTCTCCCAGGGTCCATGAAAAGGCCCTTCTCCTCACCTGCAAAAGTAGTGGCGGCCATATTTGGCCCAGTGATCCCGGACGATTTCCTCCACACCTTGCTTCCGGGCAGCAATAATGGACAGCCAAACCAAGACTGCCCAGAGGCCATCTTTCTCTCGGAGGTGATCAGAACCTAAAAGAAGAACAAATATTCCACTGAGAATTTGCAGGGAGGATTTATGGGCAGTAACAGCTAAAGGAACTAAAATCAGATAGCAATTGTGTGATACACAGAAATGGCTAGATCTGTTTATACTCTATGTTAAATATATGTCCCATAATATATTTGTATTCTCAAAAAACATGCAAATGAAATTCTAATAACATAAGTACTACTAAAAATAAAGTAAAATCCTGAAAGGCTGAAGACTCAATTTAACATTAACTAAGCCTAATAATATCATTAATTATGCCATTTATTTAGTAAATATTCCATGACCCCTATACTATACTAAGCACTGTTTTACATCCTAGGGATAAAGCAGTGAAGTAGATAGCTCTTTACTCATAAAACCTGAATACAAGTAGATGGAAACAGATAAAAGAAAAGCAGACAAGTAAGAGAACAAGACAGGTAAGAGAACGCACCCAGTAAACCCAAGGACTATGAGGAAAATCGGGTAGGCAAGGATGTCATGGCATAGGATCAAACAAGGCTGTTTTACCCACGGTTGAATGGTTGCTTCTCAAATGGTATGTTCACCAGTATCTGTGAATATGAAGCCAACTGGGGAAACAGTTTTTGTAGATGTAGTTAGTTATGTTTGAGGCACAGAGATGAGATCAACCTGCACTGTCAAGGTAGGCCCTCGATCTAATGACAAGTGTACTTCTAAGAAGCAAAGACACAGAAGAAGAGACATGCAGAGGACTAAGCCACGTGACGGAGGCAGGGATGGGAGAGATGGAGCCAGCAGAATCCCCTTTCAGAGGAGGCATGACCTCGCCCGTATCTTGGTTCTGGATTTCTGGCTTCCCCAACTCCGAGAGAATGCTTTTCTGTTGTTCTGAGCCACCCCATGAGTTGTGATTTTGCACAGAAGCTCTAGGAGACAATACAGGTCACTAGTATCAGTCTCACCAAGCTGACGACACCAGAACTGACCCCTGAGGAGAGGAGGCGATCAGGCCAAGACAAGGGACAGCAAATGCGAAGTCCCCAAGGTAGGAAGGAATGGGAACGCTAAATCCTAAGGACACTTATTCAGAAACAGAGGCATTTCTTAGTGTGCTATTTACATAAATAGAGAGTACGGTCTAAACAGCTAGCTTTCTGTGCAACAGGAACCCAAGGGAATATGCTGCAGACCCACTAAAGCATCTATTGACCATTTTTAGGTTCCTTCTGAAGTGAACAAAGCGCTAAAAACAGAGGAATGTGCTATAGTGTGAGAAAAGCACAGGGAAGGCTTCAGAACTAGGGTTTCAACCAAATTCCATTACTCCTTTTAAAAAAAAAAAAAAAACAGATTTATTTATTTTGAAAGAGACACAGAGAGAAAGGAAGAGAGACGGCGGCGGGCGGGGGGAGGGGGAGGGATATCTTCCATTTGTTGGTTCACTCCCCAGATGGCTGCAATGGCCAGCACTGAAAGCAAGAGCCAGGAACTTAATCCGGGTCTCCCACATGGGTATCTGGTTCACTCCCCAACCACTTGGCCATCATCTGCTGCCTTTCCTAGGCCATCAGCAGGGAGCTGGATTGGAAGTAGAGCAGCTGGGACTCCAACCAGTGCCCATATGCGATGCTGGTATCACAGGCTATAACTTAACCTGTTGTGTCATAATACTTGCCCCTCTGTTACTTTGCAGGTGTGAGAAAAGCCATTACAAAGCTATTCTCTCTTTTGAGGGTCGGATTCTCATCAATAAAATGGGGGATTTTTTAGTGTTGTCCTATGATTTTTTTTAAAATATTTATTTATTTACTTGAAAGGCAGAGTTACAGAGAGAGAGAAGGAGAAACAGTGAGAGAGAGAGATCTTTCATCCTCTGGTTCACTCCCCAAATGCCACAACAACTGGGGCTGGGCCAGGCCGAAGCCAGGAGCTTCTTCCCAGTCTCCCAGGTGGGTGCAGGGACCTAAGCACTTGGGCCATCCTCCGTTGCTTTCCCAGGCACATCAGCCGGGAGCTGGATCAGAAGCGGAGCAGTGGAGACAAAACTGGTACCCTTATGTGATGCCAGCACTGCAGTGGCTGTAAACCATTACACCATGGTGCTGGCCACTGTCCTGTGAATTTAATCAAATTAAGTGGGAAGGCTCTAGAGACAGAATTCTCACGTTCAAGTCCTGGTCGAGCCACTTACCTTTATTTGCTGCACTCCTTTGTAAGATTAGGGACAATAACAGCTCCTCCTACATGAGGTTACTGTCAGGATTAAGTAACTAAATATACCTGGGTATTTAAAACAGTGACTGCAATACTACAGGTTGTTTTTCCTGCTGATCTGGTTGGTAATTCACATAAAGCACCACACAATGCCAATTATTTAAAATATACATTGACACAAATTTTTTTCAGTTATTCACATGTATTTATCATCTGAATCTAGAAACAGTAATGTTAAGAAATTAAGCTGGGGGGGCTGACGCTGTAGCGTAACAGGTAAAGCCACTGCCTGCAATGCCCATATCCCATGTGGGTGCTGGTTCATGTCCCAGCTGCTCCACTTCCAATCTAGCTCTCTGCTATGGCCTGGGAAAGCAGTAGAAGATGGCCCAAGTCCTTCGGGCCCTGCACTCATATGGGGGACCAGGAAGAAGCTACTGGCCCCTGACTTCAGATCGGCGCATCTCTGGCTGTTGCAGCCAATTGGCGATTGAACCATCAGATGGAAGACACCTCTCTCTCTCTCTCTCTCTCTCTGCGTAACTCTTTCAAATAAATAAATAAATCTTTAAAAATAAAAGAGAAATGAAACTGGGACCAGGGGATGGGCCATTTCATTTTCCAATACGGTAATGAGAATAGACAGTAATATTCTTGGACTATGAAACCTATATGGAAATCAACAAGAGAGAGTCAGTGTTACAGAGCTGTTAACCCCAAAATGGAATTAAACATTAAGTTAAACATCTTTGACAACTTCTCATTGAAACTAAGGATCATTTACTGTTCTTGTTATATGTACTCCTTTTAAAAAATCAATTATTTAATCTGAAAGTCAGAGTTTAGAGAGGGAAAGACAGAGAAAGAGAGAGTTAGAGCGAGATATCTTCCATCCACTGGTTCATCCCTAGATGGTTGTAATGGCCAGGGCTGAACCAGGAGCCAGGAGATAGGAGACAGGAGCCAAGAACCTCTTCCAGGTCTCCCACATGGGTGGCAAGGGCCCAAACATTTGGGCCATCTTCCACTACTTTTCCCAGGCATGTTAGCAGGGAGCTGGATAGGAAGTGGAACACCAGAACACAAACCAGTATCCATATGGGATGCTGGCAACACAGGCAGTGGCTTAATTCACTATGCCGCAATGTGAGCCTCTGTATGTACTCTTATATGCTAAGTATTTTCCCTCAAGGGGGAAAACACACAGCTCTAAGAGGGCACTGAAGTCACTGCAATGAAAAGGAAAAAGGCCAAGTCTTTTAATTCTTCCTATAAACTGATCAACAGGCTGCTGCTGATATTGTTAGATGTCCAGTTGTGCCTGCCTGAAGGCTAAGAGGATATCGTCATACTATGGAGTGACTCCAGTGTCATCCTGTGGATTCTTTACATGGCTGCAGAAATAGAGGAAGCTGGATGACTCTGGGTTAGATCTATGGCCGACTGCCAAAGGCATGTCTAGGAACCCCTGCCCAGGGGGATCATTTAGGAACCTTTTGTCTTTTCATAGTTGAAAAAAAATAGTTATAATTTACTGGTTGGAAAAAAATACCCTTTTATTGTAAAACACAGGCTTGCATACCTTGACTCTCCAGCTGGATTACATTACCTATAGATAGAACCATCAGATGCTATTAAACCTGTGAGATAACATGTCATAATTTAGTCATGGAGAGTCACAGAGTTCTTTTAGCTGGATTAAAAAAAAAATAACCACCTCAATCATTTACAGTAAATTGTCAGTTGGCTTGGATTTCCTGGCCTACAAGTTAAACATTTGCCAAGATTCATAAGGGGCAGATGATGGAGTAAAATTACCCACACTTTTTATCATTCTTTGAGGTAAGGATAGACATTAATGATGTTAGATTACACAGATGTTTCCACTGGATGATCACAGTGTGCTTGGGAGGGAGGTTTGGGGATACAACTCTCCTTTTAATAACTCTTAAAGGCAAATGAAATATAATGCCATACCGCTAACAGGTGAATTGAACAAGAAATGCAGAAAACACAAAAATATCAAGAGGTTTTCAAAAACCTCAGTATGCACAGAGTAAACAGTGGAGGATGGCCCAAGTGTTTGGGCCCCTGCACCCACATGAGACACTGGGAGGAAGCACCTGGCTCCTGGCTTCGGATTGGTCCAGCTTCAGATGGGTGCAGCTCTGGCCGTTGCGGCCATTTGGGGAGTGAACCAGCGGATGGATGACATCTCTCTCTGTCTCTCCCTCTCACTGTCTGGAACTCTACCTCTCAAATAAATACATAAAAATCTTAAAAAAGAGAGAGAGAGAGAAAGAGTAGGTCCAAAAGATAACTGGGTGAAAGGGCATAAACAAGCAATGTTCAAGCGAAAAATCCTCCTAAGTCAGTGAACATTTGAGTGGATGTGCACTCTCATTGCAGTCAAAGAAAAGTCATCAAAACGGGGCACCATCTGGGAGCGTCTTAACCTATGAAAGGCTGGCTGGGGAAGCAGAAGCAGCGAAGCACCAATGCAAGTGAGTATACTTTGGTAGATGAATTTGGCATTAATGATCCATAATTTTAAAAATCACTGAGCTTTGGACCCAGTTATTCCATCTCTTCACCTTTAGTCACACACAGCTAAGAGAAGAGGAAAAAGGTAAAAAAATAAATATTAATTGTTGAATAACAGGATAATTGTGGACGATCCATACAAAACTTTGCTGGTAAAAAGTACTGGATAAGAATCTTTAATGATACAGAACAATGTTCATTCAATCTGAATAAACAGAAAAAATCATTTCACCAAAAAAAGAATATTCAGTACACT